GATGCAACTCTGCCTAGCACCTGCCATCCAAAATGCAAATCAACCTAGCACCTCCCATTCCCAAGATGCAACTCTACCTAGCACCTTCCTTCCCAAAATGCAAATCAACCTAGGACCTCCCATTCCCAAGATGCAACTCTAATCAAGAGCCTCATATTCCCAATGTGCAATCCAACATCTTACCTCAGGGTAGTAAGGAGCATGGACCTCATGAGACACCTTAGAGGATCCTTCTAGGACCTTTTCTTTGCGAGTGATTCCTGACTGTAACCTCTCCCATTCATCTTCCTCTTCCTCCTCCTGCTCACCTCCATCACTACTCCTGTTGTCCTCGCTGTGTGGACAAAGACAAGACAGGGCAAAATACATCAGCAATTGGGTTTGGAAAATTTGTCATTCCCGATACCAAGTGAGGTATCCCAGACTTGGAATGCTGAGAACAAACCACTGGGAAGAGCAAGTACTGTTTCCCTTCGTGAAAACCCAGACTCAAGAAAAACCATGTCACCAGCACTTCATACTGTTGCCACTGCAGATGGCAGGTCCAAAAATTGTTATCGTAGGGATAATTTGAGAGTCAGTGTAAATTTGTCTCTTCATTGAAACAAAATTGAGGTTGACAAATTTTGCTGGACAGAGACCACCATGATTCGGCTGATTTCATCAAACTGTCTGCATCAAATAACCTGGTTTATTTGACACAAAAAACATAGAGATGATTCTGGGCCAAAGTGGTCTCTTTGCGACAATGTATGTGCATGTACCAGTGAACAGCCTGTAACAGTTAAAGGAACCTGCTCGTCAATATAGACCTAACAGCACCGGACTGACCTGGCTGAGTGTTTACTGGTGTCTTCCTGTTCAGATTCACTGCCACTGTCTCCAGAATCTCCTTTGCTAGGGACTATTTCCTGGACTGCCTGTGTAGGCAACCAAGAAGAAAAAAAAAACACCCATCTAGGATTTTAAGCTTCAGATCATTACAAGAAATCGCTGAGGGAATTCAGAGGTTTGTTTGAAAGGTCATGAACTCCTGAGGTGACATAGGTTTCCCCATGCACAACATTTCTAGACATCTGTAGCCCAGGATTTTTTAAATATACAGTGTAATCTTTGCGTTTGGGAGGTGTTAATTTAATACTGGGTGCTTTGTCCCTCTCTGTTGTTTGCCTTGAACAAGCCAGCCAACTCCAGCAAGCTCGGTGGTCGAGTGCTGAGATTTCTGCACTAGTAAGCAAGCACTCATGGGTTTGAGTCCCATCTAAGTAAGCTTGTGATTTTTTTCACTAGCATTCTGACAGGATTAAGCATGTGTTCACAAAATACGCTAGAGAACTGGCAAAACATATAAACTTAGCATGGGATTGGAGAATTATGCCCCTCAGTTGACTGAGAGCAGGTACAAGGAAGGGGTTCTTGTAGGATAAAGGAGAGAGATTGAGGATTCTTGATAAGTTTTGTCTCACCCCTTTGGTGTCGTTGCTGATGTGGTTGGCTGTCTCCTTGCCGTTATGCTGCGGTGAGTCCTTGGCTCCCTTGCCTGATGCTGCCTTCGCTGCAGCAGCCTTCTTGGCGGCTGCCTTCTTGTTTGGCTTGTGCTTGGCTCCGCCCCCTCCACTTTTGCCTTTCTTCTTGCGGTGCTTTTCCCAGACATGGGTCTTGGGTTTGTGTGTGTGCGGAGAATCAGTCTAGTGACAAAAAAAAAGGATACACGCTTTCATTAACTTTGAAATCGGCATTTAAGTAGGTTTTTTTCATTCGACTCCAGTGCTGTTTACTTAAGACCTGATTTCACTTTCAAAAACAATGTCTGAATTATACCTTCAAAGACGGTGTACACCACTGGCTTTCTGCTGTAGTTTTACAAAACTAACCCCTCTAGGGAGTTTGTTATTTACTGTGGCTATCATTCCATTGACTTGTTTGATATTTTGAGTTCACTGCTTTGAGAAAACCAAGAAAACTACAGTTTATTTTCAACGGTTAAAGAACAGCTCGTTTAATTTATGTAGCCAAACTCAATGGACCACAGGATGGTCAAGGGTGCATGGATGAGTTTACCTTGAAGTTGAGTGCCTGTTTGATAAATACCATGCTGTGGATTTGTCAAATAACAATAATTCATCGTTTGATAAAGTAACAGCGGTTGGGGCAACATGTGAAACGGTGTTCATGTCACTTCACTCAAAACCATCTCTAACAGATTCTCAAATCACATACATAATATGTGCTAACTACTCGCAAATGATGTCAAAAAGGAAATTGTGGCAGGAAAATGGANTATACGGTTTCAAAAAAATGCTGGATTATCACCACTTTTGAGGGCGAAAAATTCCGGTCATGCCCAGCAGCCTGGTCTTTTGTTCGGAGTACGGTCTTTTGTTACAGGGCCCTGTTTCCTTTGTCCGAGTTCGGAGACCCCGGTTACACATATAAACCACACGGCTCCGATCCCGGAGTCCCCGGCTGGTAGTGGTTAAGAAAAGAAATTGTTAACTGCTTTCTGCAAACTCTCATGTCTGACAGTACAGTTCTCCTTTACCACCACTGACACTGTGGCGACTTTATGCAATTCTTCCCAAGGAATCTCAAAGGTTTCTTACTTTTCTGGTTTTGGCACAGTAACCATGGTAACTGAAAAAGAATGTGGCTGCTGTGATGTGGTAACTCGGCACTTTTGGTCTCCTATTGAAGAAAAAAAAGCCCTTTAAAAACCCACATTTACCTTATCATCTTCTTGAGTCTCTTTGGCTTCCTCTATGGCCTCTACTGCACCATTGGATTCTTGTTCCTGGACCTAAGATATTAAAAGGAAATGATGAATGACAAAAAGGCCAACTACATAGTACATGTAGCACTTCAATGCACGAGGGCGCTATTCTTAAGAATGTACATTAAGAGTGAGGATCTCGTTACAGTTAGTCTCAAATAGGCTAATGTACAAGTTACAAGCTTTACACACAGCATACTTTCTGGATCATGTGTCATACCTTTGTTGGTGCCTTCAGAATGTGACAAAAACCTCTATTGGCTCTTTGCACAATGCTGCCATAAGCACAGACAGCCTCAAACTGGCAGCTTTACACAAAACATTTGGTTCAGTGATTCCCATATATGTTGCTTAGTTACAGGAACCAGAGGTCCGACTACATTAAATTGGGAGAAGCTGCCAGTTTGAGGCTCCCTGCGCTTATGGCAGCAGTGCGGAAAGAGCAAATAGCCTGTAGAATGGCCATTCTGAGATTATCGCATTTGAAAATATCTTCTTAAAATAATGCTCAACTCATTTGTTGTTACAGATTTGGATATCACACACTCATATCCAGTCTCATGCAGAACAACGTATGGTGCCTCTGGCTTTGCTAATGAGAGGATGGATATGGGGGTGTGAGGGGGAGTGGAGGAAGGGGCAAGTTGGTGTATATTGCTGGGACTGGTTGTGGCATAGTGGGGCAGACTGGATAGCCACATACCTGGAAAGTACCTCTTCTTAAAGTGACAGTTGCTGTCACCAGGGAGCCTGCTGTGATGGTTTTCTTGTCTTCATCAGCAAGAACTTCAAAATATCAATCAAAACATTTTCAGTGAGACACTGCCAATAAATAACAACAGCACTTGATAAGGAAACGGTAAGGATCCCGAAGGATGCATCATTCACCCTCCATTCCCCTAATTCTCTGAAAATAACCACTGAGAGAAACGAGGGAGTGAAGACAGACCTTCTAGTTCCACATCAGCCTCCAATTTAGGCAGTGTCTTCAAGACATTGATAACATCTTGGTATTGCTTCTCATGAAGGTGGCGCAGTATATTCCTGAAAGTAGATGAAAACACTTACTAGGTAATGAGTCCACTTGACTTTGGTGTTCAGAATACAGGCATGACACTGGAATCCCCCCCCCACAAAAGACCAGGAAGAATCCCAACTTTCCAAGACTTTGTACAGTGCTTTTTGAATTTGCAAGCTATCTAAACGCCGCATGCCAGTGATCAATGCTTTCTCCCTTGGGTCCTAGCTCCAGATCAACAGGATGACGAGGAAGGGATGGCCAGTTTCAGAATACGAGGGGACAAAAAACAACAGTCAAAAAAAGAAAATCAAAACAGCCAGGTAGAATGAGTAAACCCAACTATGGCAGGTGTTAAGCACAGTTTATCGAAGACAGTTTATCAAGACCCAACAGAAAAAAAGAAACTCACCAAACTTTTATGCACATTACATTGTAATTTCAAAGAATGCAACATTTCGTGCATAAGAAGAACAGGTCACGCTCTACGTACCGTATACAAAACAACAGCACTAATGCCTAGATATGGCCTCTTTAAGATAACGTGAAAATCTAACAAGAGACTTAAGACGGTTTATAAAGGCACTGCCAAGCCACTAATACTTTACATGGGGCCGATAGCCATTGACAGGTCAAAGTAGAGGCAATGTGAGATTAGTTTCCTGCAGAACAAAGGATTTGGTGTGATTTGAGTAGATCACTACGATCAATAAATTCAGATATTTTCTTGGATTACACAAGAAACTTCTGACATACCTTCGATCCACATCCTTCATCTTAGCAAACTGGGCAAGAGTCTTTATGTGGCGCTGGCGGAAAACAATAAGTAGAACGTTGTTACAAGCTCTCAATAAACCATTGAAATATGAGAGCTTAATGTTTCAAATGCAGCAGATCCCGTCTCAACCAGAAAAATGAGGCACTTTAACTCATCAGCTATTTCAGGGCATTTTCACTGGTGTGTATAGACAAATCTGAGGAGACACCAATGCTGCAGGGCTATTGCACTCACGTGCATGTCTTAACATGAGCGCATGCATGTGTTTGACAAGTCACGACACCCTATTGTTTGGAGAGTAATGACTTCTACTTTTTTTCGCCAGATTTGTCCATATGGCAAGACAGACGACTGAGAAGATAAACAGATATAGGTATAACACAGGCTTGCACTTGCTAATTGCCTGAGAGGAGGCTCACGTACAGAATCTGAAAAACTGAGAAGCCTCTCACCTTTTTCCTCAAGGTATCCTCTGTGAAGTGAGGCAACTGCTGTAAGGGTGACTTATCCCAGCATGCTTGAATGAGCATGGGGCTCTGACGCATGATAAACTCTATTGACTCCAAACGAGGCTCCTTAGCCACTAAAGAAAAGTCAATCATTTTCTTATTTACTTTGACCCATGACTGCGCATGTACACATACAGTGCAGGTAGCAATAGAGTGAAAATGAACAGGTCCCAGTCTGAGATTAAGCTTAGAACCCTCAACACTGGTATTCTTTGCCCTCTACAAACCTTCTGCTGTTTTACTGCCCTAAAGCTATCACACTGTGCGGTATCAAACTTTCTAGCAGCATAGCTTTGACTATCCGACATACGACCCAGGTAATTCCACCAACAGTGTGAGGGTTAACAACCTGTTTGGCAAAACTCAAAATGAAGTGAATTTGGACTGAAGCAAAAACATCTAAAGACCGTCGCCAAAAGCAGACGCACACATCTGCCGTGATGAAATATCCGGTAGAGTCTGGCATTAACAATGATGTCATTATTCACTCCTCTTGGCAAATGACAGCTTTTTTCACCCTGTGAAAGTTATATTTTCAGCATGCTGGTTCTAACATCGGACTATGTTAATACTCTGTGTCGGCATCCATGCCTCTGTCTTACCTCTGCCGTAGTTTTTCAGAGTGACAAGCTGCGATGCCGTGTTGACCATCTCCTGGATCAGCTGAGGACACTTGGAGACAATGTATCTCTTATCTGTGCATTAAAACAATTCAGAATGAGCAAAATACTGGCACCGCACTAATTAAGGCAAACTCTCATCTTGACATGTAACACTGCAAGTCCCAAGTACATTCACATTCACACCAAACCGACGATGCCCAGCTCTCTTAGAAGGACATCTCCCAAGCATCTTTTGTGAGCCGTGCAGTAACAGTTCCTATTTGAGCTGCATCTGTCAAAAAATCAATAACTAAATAACACAGGTCTTGTAACTTGTGACCCATTTTTGTCAGGCTACAAATGTGGCCAAACATTTAATGACTCAGCACGCACAATGACCTTCGAAATATCAGTTCAGCACCCTTGCCGCAAAACCTTCAAAGTGTTATACTTCGCTCCTGAATACCCTTCAGCAGCTCTATCCTAGTCCAATATGTCTGCAGAAGGCTTGACTTCACTCTCTTCTTAATGTGGGACTAATAGTCAAAATACCCCGTATCCATATTACCTCTACTGTCAAATAACTTGTCAAATATCTAGAGTTACCAGATGACTTGAAAGACTTGAACGCATTTTATTTTTCAGTACTGCTAGTGTAGCATCCTGGCATGAATGCATGGACATCTCTAGATAACTTCCAAAACACTGCACTTTAAAATTGTCTCCTGGTAGAAAGACGAGTCCAAAGGTGAACTTAAAACCCACAGTGTTCTCACTCAATGTTCAGCATCCTACATGCAGCTTGGCACCCACACTTACCAAATTCCAGGGTGTCAGACGGAAGATCCGTCCTGGCCAGATGAGCATAGAGTAGGATGCGAGCCTTACGACTGTACGGGAAGATGAAAGGCCTCTCTTTGCTCTTCTTGCCAGACTCACTGTCGAACTCTCGCATCAGCTACAAGAGAACGTCCACCCAGATGTGAATATCACAACTACCACTTTCAATTTATAAGATCATCTGCAACAGGTTAAATGGAATTTCATGGGTTATTTGCTGTTAATTTTTGTAAGACGGGAGGACTAGCCAAGCCTACTGAGTACTCACCGGAGGCAATTCTTCGTCGTCACTGGGCCGGATCACTATCTCAGTATTGTGTCTCTGGTCAAACTCACAGGATGCTGACAGAATCATTAAAGCACCTGCAGGAATATCAATTTGAAACATTGAATATCCATAAAACATGCCGAGAAGAAACTGTAACTGGGCACATTTTATTGGACTGCAGAAAGATCAGTTGTTTGGAAATCACACAAATTCAACAGAGTCTGGGTAAGCAGACCACACAGCCTTGGTACGCAGCAAGCATGTCCATTCTTATGTCCTCTAGCTGATCCAAGGTCAACTCAAAGTGACCAGAGACTACAATCAGACTACATGAAAGGCAGACAAGTGACATGTGCATTGCAACCTCAACTAAAGATTTGAGGGTGTTGCATGTCTTCATATCTACACATGACAGGACTTCTGTCTCCAGCACACTGACGACTGTGGATGGAACATGTGACCCACCCATGAGACACAAGTGACCCATATCCCTAAGTGAACTGTGCTCTATAAGCTTCTAGAGCTACAAGTTTGTCTATTGTCAGCATGTACCTGCAGACTGGCATGAAGCTCTAGAAACAAGATTCAACTTCATATTTATACAGGAGAAGTGACTTTTGGATGTCAACCCAATGTGGGATGCAAATGGACTTTGTTAACTTATGTTGTTGTGTGGTAAACAATCAATACATGACAGGCAGCTTACGTTTCAGATTAAGGCAAGGTGTCTTGTTGATGAACCACAGGTAGAGCTGAGAAGTTTCCAGGAGGACCTCCACGGCGCTGTAACGAATGGAGCGATACCACCAGGTGCCCTGTCAAAGTAATGGGTCATAAAACACTGGTTCAATGCCAAACAAAAAGTGATGCCATACACAAGTAATGTAACGCTGCGTAGCTTCCAGTACTAACAAATCTGATGCAAATGAAAAGAGAAGACAGCTTTCTGGCTAACTACATGTACATGATGTTTGCATTTTGAAATATGATTTTTATCATCCTGGACACTTAACCTTCAAAATCCTTTAATTTCACCTTAAAACTTTAGCTCACATCGCATGATCTGCAAAACCCTTCAATATGATCTAAACATAAGACTTATCCAGTAACAAAGCACCAGTCGAAATGGATGCAGACCAGTCAAGCCCCTACCAGTCAAGGTAAATGTTCGTACCCAATAACTGCTCAACAAAAGTCAACCCTACTTGTACATACAGTGTCACTAAATTCAAAGAAAAATACTTGAAGCCCACAGCAAGAACAGAAATATTTGCTTCCTGCCCCTTAATAAATGTAGGAAATGCATGGGATTTCAATCAAGTTTATAACAGACTAGTCACAATGTGACTAGACTACATGCACCTGTAGTCCAATTGAACAAGTCTATGATCTATCCAAAACTTTTCAAAATAAAGACAGGGTTGATGCTCACCACGGCAATTGGTAGAATCACCATGAAGGCCAGCCCATATATACCAAGAACCTGTTCCAAGAAATGAAAAATGAAATTCAACACTTGGAAATGGACCAAATCAATCAACATTAACCACTTGCTGCCGGGAACCCTGTTTCGAGCACCATGGCTTTATATTTAGAGCCAGGGTGCCCGAAATGGGACAAAAGAGCTGGTCTGTGTAACAAAAGACCTTACTTGGAACAAAAGACCTGCCGCTGGGAATTGCCATCATTTTTCGGCTTGCATTTTTCGAAGGTAATCCGTCAGTGTTTTCAAACAGTATACCACTGTTTTGGGCATAGCACGCCCACGGATTAGCACCGCGGACAAAAGTGCTCCAGGGCCCCATTGATGAGCGACACAGCACCAATACATGCTAATCCAGCTGCGTTTGAAAAGATGCCATTCGCATTCACTGGGGATGTAACACCTCACAATTCTGGGCTCTGTTTACAGGGCGGCAGGCCTGGCTGAAATACTGAGGGGTCAATGAAGGTTGCCTGTCAGCTTAGAGTAGCCACCAGTCATTCATGTGGGAGTAAACGTCCATTAAATGAAATGATGAATTTTTGAAGAATTTTGAAAACTGAAAATCTCTCGTATGTGTGCACTGCATTTTGAAAAGCCCCCAGCAGCAAGCGGTTAATCCTCAGACATTGTGCAAATAAGGCCAGCATGTCTTTTACCTAGTTGGATTACGAACATAGCATAATTGACTTTAGTCAAAAATTTTCTTAAATTTTAAATCATTAATACTTTTACATCATGGAATTGAGTATTTCATCTGTCACCTCATGAAATAATTCTTACCACTGCACTCATAAACTTTCATAATTTGCATATTAGTTAATATGGAATAGATTTTTGTGGTGCAGCAATGGTGTACGATGAGATAAGTAGTTTTATGACACAAGATTCACCAGTCAGAGACAGATATTTTATTCTGGCATTGTATATAAGAGAAAATTAAGGGGAAGCAAGTCTGGATTCAATAACTCATTGGCAAGACTGGTTCAGACATCAAATAAACAAATTTACCAGAATTGAATTGTTCTGATCCACAATCCATGCAGGTAAGGCAATACCAAAACTTGTAGCTGAAAGAAAAAAAATCACAAAGGCAAAAGTTAAAAATCAAACAAGTTAAAATCACAAAACATTTCTGATAAAAGCACAGGTTGCCATTTTGAATGACAATGCTCCCAAACCAGAGACACTTACAGATAAGAAATATTAACAGAACTGACAGTCCATGCCAGTTCAATCTCTCATTTTCACTTGTAAATTAGGTGAAAAACATTTTTTTTCAGGTTCTTAATTTCATCTTAGCTCACCTGTTGGTCCATCGGGGTTTCCATATTTTTCCCAGTTCTCTCTAGATTCATCATTAGTTAATCTGCAAGAGGTTTATTTCAAAAGTTTCAACTAAAAGATGCTTCTATCTGCACGTACCGGTAAAACATAACAGCTCTAACAAAATTTCTGAAAGTTTTGAAAATAAAAGCACCATTACCATTTGTTACATCAACACCTTGTTAACAGGAGATTACATGAATACCTAATGATTGGAAATTGAAAATCAACTTTTGAATAACTATAACACCAGATTATCAAACAAGCTCCATATCAATAATGTTAGAACATCTCTACCCCTCTCAACTGTTGGATACCAGGGACCCTTACTTTGGGACCAAAATCAGGTCTTATTGTACACTAATGTCAATTATAACATGTAAAAGGTGTTACGAAATACATCTGCTCAATGTGGCGGTTAGTGACCACGACAAGGTCAAAATAATGTCAAAGTTGCAGTTAGAGTAGTAAACTAAAGATGGTTATTCTCTATTAATTTGTTGACCTTTGTGAAGACCTCCACACGTCAGTATCATTAATGTTTCGCCCTAAGAATTGTGAAAATTACATGTATTCTCCTTCAGGGGACAGACCCAGTACAAACTTCAGCTTTGTGTCTGACCTCACCCATACTATTATGAATGTACCGATCGTTTTGTGAACTCCTGCATTATTTAACTTATATTTGGTATGGAAATAAACCCGACACCTGAACTGTTCTTGAGAATGCACATACATGTACATACAAATATGTCCATCATTGCCACGATGTTCTTAAGACTAGCACTAATGTAAACTTATGAGACTTGCAATGTGATAAATGGTCAATGCAATTATTTCACTGCAACCTTAGAGAATGCCCTTTGGTGTTTCAATTAATTAACTGAATTTTTTATTTTTGTTTCACTTAATTTGAAAAGCAACTTCTGTGTCTTTGGTTCTCCTTCTTATGCCAACTTGCCATATTCATGAGCAAAACTCTGATGTTATCATCCCAGAGAGGCAACCTCAGAGGCACAAAAATCTGCCTGAACTTTTGATATGCACCTAAATCAAGTAAATCACTCCTTTTTTTTGTGATTTATTGTTGTGTAACTACAAAATGTACATGGCCATAAGCCAACAAGCAACCCTTTCCAAGAAATGATTTCAAGCAGCAGATTTTGAGCAGAAAACGTTTGCGAGAAAACATGGAGACTGCACAATGTCCTCCCTGTTTGACATCACAGCAAACAGCGCCCTCAATTGTCTAGAAAACCTTGGACAATTTTAAATGTGAAAAACAGAGCACATTTCAACACATTACCCTAAACCGACGTCATTAAAGAGAGCAAGGATGTACAAAATGTGTGTCTAAGAAATATTTGTTGCATGAACACTTTAAGGATGGAGGTGAGCATAGGTTTTTTTGGGGGGGGAGGGTTTCAAGAACTCACGCAGCGTAGGCTTTGGCTATCTTGATGAATTCCACTGGATCTCCTCCTTTGTCTGGATGTTTAGTCTTGGTTAGAAGACGGTACTTCCTCTTAATTTCTGCTACAGATGCACCCTGTAAGACATGATTATGTGATGGAAAGCGCTGTTAACGATGGTATTTCATTATTTTGTAAATGATTAAAACCCAGGAGTGAGATTGGAGGAAACTTCAATATCTACAAAATAATCACCACAGGTTTTAAGTGTCCCACAGCAGCATACTGTGGAGTAGGGCCTGTGGTCATGGTATACATTTTGTGTTTGCTTGAAGACAAAAATACCCATTTCTTGTGCTCTATATAAACTTTTATGCGTAAAAACACAATGATAAACTCAAAATATTACAAATTTTACAGAATGTTTGAAAAATCCTGACCTTGGGGAAATTCTGAGATTTGGAAAAATCCTGCCAAATCTCATCCCTGAAAGCCAGATGCAAGACACGCAGTGGAAATAAACAGTTTCTGCCTCCTAAAATATTTGCTTTTCTTTGAACACAGTAATTTGTGTGGCTTCCTTTGAGCTTTACTCTGTACAGATCTATTATGCTCAAATACAGTGCTGCAATATCAGTGTCAATCAGGAAGTAATTTGTCTTAAAAGAGTGATCTAGTATTCTTACATTGTTAGTCATTTTTCTACGGATACCAAGATTCATTGGACTTGAAGACTTTTATATGACATGATTGACTGGACTGGCTGATGCTGTACGGTACTTACTCTATCCAGTTCAAGGATATCATAGGGATCATACTCAATGTGATCTCTCTCTACTTGAGATGCCTTGAAAGCCAGGTATATGAATAAAACCCAAGCACCAGCCAGAAAAATCCACCTGTTTGAATAGAGAAGATGTCATTAAGGTGATTTCTGTTTAGTTAGTATAAGACTGAGAACACAACGAATATCAAACAACAATCCTGTATTCTTCTATGTTGTGGACAACAAGGAAAGAAGAAATGGTGACTCTGATTTCAGCTCATTTTGTAGAAATAATCCATGATTTTGTGAAATTAGGCACAATTTCTCAATTGACAATGCACCTGAGCTTGTTCAATGTGCCTTTCACTGACCCACCATACAGGACGTCAGACATAAATTTGATCGCAAGGAACCAAGGTTTCACACAATTAAATTGTTGTGTTTCACCAGCACCCATGGGCAACATCTGAAATGGAGCCCGACTACTAGACTTTATGCATGCCTGGCTTGTTAACAAAATAAGGCTGTGTCCGAAATGGGCTTCCAGAGCTACGACTAGGTCTATTGTCTATGCATCTCCACACATTTCCAATGGAGCGAAGACCTAGACCTAGCTCTAGACAACAGATTCGGATGCAGCCTGAGTTTGGAATTGGTCTTTTAATGCTGAGGGCACAAAGAGGTTGCAGAGTTTACTCCAGTTTCAACCTACTTGAGTGCATGACGTAGTTTCTGAGTTGGCTTTTTGGCTTGTAGTCTGTCTCTCTTCTCTTCACAAGGATCACACTGGCATTGTGACTTCAACTTCTCTGGGTCATCTAAACATCGGGACAAGAAATGGGCAGGATGCACAGGGAAATGAATATTCACAACAGTTACAACTCGGTCTCAGACATCGCCATGTAAGATCTGATAAAATCCATTGGGGTTGGAAGGGTTCAAGAAGAATTGACAGGATTTACATGCAGTGCCCAGACAGATGATGAAAGGATCGATAGATCATACATTTACATGTGCAGCATGGTCGACCGATTTCACAGAGATCATGGAAATTGAGCAAAACTACCAACCATGCCCAGCATATACACATTTGTACCATATGTGTAATAAGAATATCTGCCAATCTAAGGACAAGACGAATACCTGGAAACAGTAGAAGATTCAGCTTTTTACATAACACCATCTTCTGAATAAAAACATATCAGATGCAATAATGTCTTGCTAGGCCTACAACATTTCCAACAGAAGTAAGATTTCTTCAATAATTTGGTGAAATTTTGAGGGATTGTCCAAGTAAGCTACATGTACATGTACATTACCAATTCACATAATCACTCTTAATTGCCAAAAACGTGCATAACCCCATTGGTGGATGATCTTGGAGAGTGTTTATAATAAACAGCACCTACATACATGTAATGTAACTTCTTGGATTTGAGGGTGAAATCACTGATGAGGTTGGTTGCTGACTTGTTTTGGGCGATTATGGACTGTTGTGTGAAGTAACAATGGCAGTGTTGCAACCTCAAATACAGAGGAGAATTTTGTAAACTCTAACAGTTGGCTAGTCAGGTAGGGACATGCATAAAGGAGTGAGGGCGCTGTTCATTTGCTCACTCATTTCCTTAAATAGGAAACTGTGCTTAAAAGTTGTCTTTTTCCACACACTGTACATGTATATGTACATGTAGCTGGGTCATTCCATGAGGTTAGGCACAATTTGTGACGGTGTCCTTGTTACATGTACATCTGCAACTTTTACCACTTGTCATGACATGCAGAGTTGGTCATTTACTCTGTAAAATAACAAAATACACCTCAGTATTTTGCCTTGCAAGATGTGTCATGTCAAGTGGAATCCACATGCAGAGAAATACAGTAATTGTTCATTTTTACAGAACCGATGCACATGTAACAACTAACACCATCACATATTGTCCTCCAACCTCACGGAATGACCCAGCTCCTCTACTTAATTTTCAAATTTAAATATTTTCAAGTGAAGCCAGCATTTAATTCATTGAACCAAGACATGAATAAGAACAAACACTTTCGGGAAATATGAATTTTAGGCTTCTCAGTCAAACTTTCACTCATGTTTGTGTACCAAAAAAATCACAGTTTGCTGTAAGAGTGGGAATTTACATTTAACTTGAAATATGTTTAGAAAATTTTCCTATTCCATTTAAACTTGTAAACGTCCCACCTTACCACTGTATCATTGAAAACCTTAAACACAATAAATTGTATATTGTGTAAATACAATGTACAGTGTAGTTGACACAAAGTCCGGACACCGTCCGGTGATGAATTCTTGGTATTCCTTTGACACGACCGAGCAGTAAATTGATTACATTTTACAGGCCTCGTTAACAATAAAAAACAATAAATCAATCAAAAGTCAAACCTGGTGGTTCCATTTAAATGTTTGGGGAAAATCCGTTAAACAGATTTGAAACTTTTTAAATAAAAATATTTTAAATTTTAGTTTGAATATTTAATCGTGTAAATGTCCCACCCTTATTTTGCTCTGCAATACACATGAACAAAAAAATCCCCAAACACCTCAAAATATTCCCGCTTTAACTTAATATTTCTTTGACTTTGCTTTGCAGAGTCCATTGGTAATTATATCTAAACATATCAAAATGTTTCTTTTGACATCATGATCCTCTCCAACATGTCCAAGATCACTTCAAAGTAAAATAGAAAAAAGATGGAAAAACTATGAATCTCTCGAGGAGTCCAATAGACTGGCAATGGCCCTGGTGAGTGGTGGGCTACATGCAGGCCTAACGTTATAACGCGTTAGTTCATCATATATGATGTATATGATGTAAACATATGGATTAAATTTCCTACTTAAAGCAGATGGCACAAACAACCAGGTAGGCCTAATATTATAACAAAATTAAGTGACCAAAATAGGCCCACAGCGATTTACTTGCCCACCTTTCCTTTGTTTTGAAGGCCATAGGTAGTAAGTGACTGGGAAGAGAACTAAAGCGTAGAAAGAGACCAGAAAATAAAGGGATGTTCCACCCGATTCGTCGTACTCGAACTGCGCCGCCATCTTACCCCGACTTGGCTAAGCCTATGCCTGATATGTCCATGTAGCTCGCGATGTATTCGCAGCTGCTTAAAAAATTAATAATACACGTATGAACGACAGCGCCCTCTCTAGTACAACGCGGAAAATTTAAGTTATGTAACTTTAATTTATCAAGTAGACTACATCATCATCATCATCACTCAGTACAGTAATACCGTGTGTTCCTAGCTCTATCTATGGTAGCACATGTACTTGATGAACCAGTCCGGTGTAGTATATAATATTGACACTGACAGGTATTTTGTTTTCGAAGTGCGCGGAGGTCAGTACAATGAGGGTGGGTTTTGTTGCCTGTTGGGCATAGAGCAAGGGTAGGCCTGTGACATCGTTCGTCAAGTTCGTACTGTAATGGCGCGGGGTCACTCAAAGAGGGGATTCTTAAGTTGTGTTCAGCCGTGGCCATCGGGTCGATGTTTTCATGTCTTCCATGATGATGCGAATTTTATTATGTAGGCCACTAAGCATGCACCATGACCACTTACAAAGTTACATTGGGAGAGGGGGACATTGATGAGTTCAAGATCCATGGTTTGAGTACCTCCTTTTTCAGTATTTGCAATTCGGCTTATGCTGTATTCAGGTTTGTTGCATGCAGATATCGATAAAATAAATGCAACAAGTGTAATTTATATAGGTAAAAAAAATTTATCTTTACCCTCAAAAGAGCAAAAAGAGCCAGGGGGTGGGGAATTTTCTCTGATATCGCAGTAGTGTATTTGTCATGAGTAGAGCCTTTGAAAAACCCTGTGTTCATTTTCACACCAATTTCATGAAAATTTAACCAACCATTCTCAGGTTGTCCCGCAACACCCGTTCTGAGATACATGTAAGTCGGCCAAAACTTAACCCAGGTTGGACGCCAGTCTTCGTTACATTATGACTGACCATAATGTAGTGCGGTCAGGGAGTCCATCTGGGCTAGCCAAAGCTGTATTTTCTGCTGCTGTGCTCAATACACGCGGGCTGGGAAGTACATGTACATGTGTGGCCTTGAGTGTCAAATAACCTTAACAACAAAATCATACATTAGATTGATTTGAAACTCCCCACTTGTTTTGAAAAGGAGTATTTTCTCATGCTTGCCAAGTTTAAAAAAATGTCAGCATGGAATCGCCGAATGGGGGGGGGCAGTGGCTGTAGGAAGGTGTAAATAATCTCTCTTATTTAGGGTTAAAGTGTCCTCGTTTGCTAGACTTGACTGAACTCTTTTTTAATCGCAGGTTTGCATCATAGATTTATCACTGGTACATGTGATAGTATGGGCAAACCAACTAAAGTTTCCGTCGCAGCAACTGCAGTGAAGCAAGCAACAAAAAGAAAGGCAACACTGAGCACGTCCGTGGATGACTCACCGAGCAGAGGCAAAAAGACAAGGAAAACAAGTGAAGAAAGTGAAAGTGAGTTAAAGTAAAGACAATTCAATCTGGAGGTTTGTGTTTTTAGTGGTGAATATAGTTTCTAGGTCATATGTTAAGGTGTATTTTTTTTTTTTTTTTGCGTTGGGGAGATGTTAATTATATATATAACGCTTTTTTGCCCTTACCCAACGTATATTAATAAGCACTGTATGCTCAGTGCTTGTCCGAGAGCTTGCGAAAAAACTCACAAGCTTAC